GCTTGTATAGAACCAGGCGGATAGGTGCCAGCTTGCACCGAACCAGGAGGATAGGTACCAGCCTGTACCGAACCAGGCGGATAGGTACCAGCCTGGACCGAACCAGGAGGATAAGCACCAGCTTGTGTGGAACCAGGCGGATAGACGCCAGCCTGCACCGAACCAGGCGGATAGGTACCAGCCTGAACCAAACCAGGAGGATAAGCACCAGCTTGTGTGGAACCAGGCGGATAGACGCCAGCCTGCACCGAACCAGGCGGATAGGCACCAGCCTGCACCAAACCAGGAGGATAGGTACCAGCCTGCACCGAAGCAGGAGGATAGGCACCAGCTTGTATAGAACCAGGAGGATAGGCACCATATTGGACCAAACCAGGCCGATAGGCACCAGCTGGCACTGAACCAGGTGGATAGGCACCAGCGTGCCTCAAGCCAGGCAGATGGGCACGAGGTTGCATTGAACCCGGTGGATAGGTACCAAGTGGCATTGAACTAGGTGGATAAAAGCCAGACTGCACCAAGCCACGCTGGTGTGCCCCAGGCTGTACCATGCCATGCTGGTGTGCCCCAGGCTGTACCATGCCACGCTGGTGTGCCCCAGGCTGTACTATACCACGCTGGTCTGCGCCAGGCGGCACCGAGTCACGCTGGTCTGCGCCAGGCGGCACCGAGTCACGCTGGTCTGCGCCAGGCGGCACCGAGTCACGCTGGTCTGCACCAGGTGGCACCGAGTCACGCTGGTCTTCTTCAGGTTGGACCAAATCATGCTGGTCTGCACTAAGCTGCATCAAACCATGCTGGTCCATTCCAGGTTGCACCACATCAAGCTGACCTACACCAGGTTGTGCCAAGTCATGCTGATCTGCACCATGCTGAACCAAACCATACTGATCTGTACCTGTTGGCACCAAACTAGGTGGATATGCACCAGGTTGGACCAAACCATGCTGATCTACACCAGACTGCTGGTCTGTATCTAGTTGAATGAAATGATGCTGGTCTGCAGTAGGTTGCATCAAACCCTGCTGGTCTGGACCAGGTTGCTCTGAAGTAAGTGCATATGCACCCGGGTGCCCCCAAATAGGTGGATATACACCAGGCCACAGCACACCATGCTGATCTGCACCAAGTTGCCCCAAACTAGGTGGATACGCACCAGGTTGAACCAAACCATGCTGGTCTACATCAGGTGAGACCAAGACAAGTGGATATGTGCCAGGCTGCACTAAACCAGGTGGATATATACCAGGTTGCATCCAACCACGTGGATATGCACCTGTCTGCACCAAACCAGGCTGCACCAAGCCAGGCTGATCTCCAACAACAGGTTGAACCAAACTAGGCTGATCTTCACCAGGCTGCACCAAGTCATGCTGGTCTGGGCCAGGCTGGACAGCACCAAGCTGGACTGCACCCGGCTGCACCATGCCAGGCTGGACTGCATCAGGCTGGATGACACCACGCTGGACCGCCCCATGCTGGACTGCACCAGGCTGGACCACACCACGCTGGACTGCTCCAGGCTGGACCATGCCAGGCTGGACTACACTAGGCTGGACCACACCATGCTGGACTGCTCCAGGCTGGACCGCACCACGTTGGACTGCTCCAGACTGGACCATGACAGGCTGGACTGCACCAGGCTGGACCACACCACGCTGGACTGCTCTAGGCTGGACCATGCCACGCTGGACTGCTCCAGGCTGGATCACACCACGCTGGACTGCACCAGGCTGGACCATGCCAGGCTGGACTGCACCAGGTTGGGCCAAATCATGCTGCTTTGCACCAGGATGTACAAAACCAGGTACTTCTAATCCTGGCTGCACAAAAGCTCGCTGCTCTGCGGTAGCTTGCATTAAACCAGGAGGTCCCAAACCACTCTGATATACAAAGGGTGTAACCAACCCATCCTGATCCATAACAAATGGTACAAATCCATACTGATCCATGCCAAACTGTTCTGAACCACGCTGGTCTATACCAAGAAGTACCATACTGCGCTCATCTGTAGTAGGTGCTTCCAATCCTTGCTGATCTCTGCCAGGTACCAGTGGTGGCACTGTACCATGCTGATCCATACCAACTGGTATGAAAGCCTGCTGATCCATGCCACGTGGTGCCACACCCTGCTGGCCCATGCTGGGTGGTACCATACCTTGTGGATAAGTGCTAGGATATACCAATCTAATCTGATCCCTGCCAGGTGGCCTTAAGCCACGTTGAGTTCGCCCTAGATCTGGACTTAAGTACATCATGCCTTGCTGATCCGAGGACCCCAAGTCAAGCTGATCTCTGGACAAGGTCGAATCCTGTCGGACTAGGTCAGGTTGCGGAACTCGTTCATCCCTTCTTTGGTGTAATGAACTGTACTGCTCTCGACTCCGGCGACGATCCAGATCTACTTTTAACTGGGATGTAGATGGGTGATGGGGTTTTAGCAAACCAACTTCATCATGGGCACTTGAGAGCTGTTCTCTAACAGAAAAGCCAGCCATAGAAGGAGCTCTGTCACGATCCCTTTCAGAAGGGTATGCTGAGTCACTGGATCCTGAGAAGGTCTTAGCTGGGGCCACACCACCCACGGAATCGGTGCTCAGTTGTTTGGTGGCGATTCCACTTTGACTCACATCAACTGATGTTGACAGACTCTGTCCTTTGTGCTTAGGAACTGACATCGATGTATCTGACATCTGGTTGAAGAAGAAGAAAGAAAGAACAGAAAAACAACGTGTCAAAACTCAGCACCATAAGGGTTGGAGGGAAGGATATTTGGGATGTCTAACTAGAATGCCTTAGAACCCTTGGGAAAGAAAACCTTTAGCCTCCAAAGCTAAACAGGACATAGAGACCTTGACATTCTTGCAGGACTAGGTCTCCAGATTGTTGACAATCTACACAACTGCAAATAGCACCAGAATGTGTACATAATTTCCTTCGTAAAAGTTGTGGTGGTGGTGGTGGGGGGGGAGGACTGCAAAATACAATTGGCTCACTCTGACCTTGAGTCTATAAATAAAGGACATAAGTAAGTCATTTATGAAGTTTTGATATAAAGTTGGCCCCATAGCTGGCCCATTGATGATGATAAAAAGTGTACACCCTCAGTAAACTATATATTCAAAATGTGAGTGCACAAATTCTTGGACACAGAAACTCCATAGCTAGGAATTTTCTCTATGGACCCTCACAGAAGGATGTTGAGATATATGTACAAAAACAGACTCTGCCAGAGATGAGAACATGGAGAGAGGGAGCAGTTGAGGACTCTAGACTCATGGAAAAAGAAAGGCTGTGTGCTGGTGTCCAGGAGGCAGGCTTTCAGAATGTGCCCTTTGGTTGTTTAAATGATTATATATTCCTGAGTGTTTCTGTGTACATCCCCCGACCCCCCACCAGAAAACAAACAGAGGGAATGGAAGCAAATTCTGTTGAGCAATGATGCATGGAAGAGATTGTAATCATTGCAATGAAATGATGAGTGTAAAACCAATGTTCCCCCATGTAAACTATCACTCAATTCACAATAAAAATGTAAAAAAAAAAAAGACTGCTAAATTGTGAGAACAGATAATCAATAGGGGACTGATTTGTTTATGGTCTACCATATACAGTAGACTAAGGAGCTCTGGTAGCATAGTGGTTAACCTCAAGGTCAGCAGTTCAAAACTACCAGCTGTTCCACGGGAGAAAGATGAGGCTTTCAGCTCCCATAAAGATTTACAGCCTCAGAAACCCTATACAGGGCAGCTATGAGTCAGAACCGACTCCACAGTACATAGCCACCACCATACAGTGGAATAATATACAGCCATAAAAAATGATAGACTACAGGTCGCTCTGAGTTGGAATCGACTCGACGGCATTTATCAACAACAGCTACTATAGAAAACTGTCTAGCAGTTGCTCACAAAGTTGAACAGAAAACTACCATACCTACTACTGTTGCATTGATGCCAACTTACAGTGACTCTCTAGGGTGGAGAAGAATTGTGTCAGAGGGTTCCTGAGGCTCCGAATCTTTACAGAAGTAGACTGCCTCATCTTTCTACCAAAGAGTGGCTGGTGGGTTGCAATAGTTGACCTTCTAGTTAGCAGTCTAATACTTAACCCATCAGGATTCCAGAACTACCGTATGACTTAGTGATCCCATTCCTTGATGTATAGGCAAGGATGCAAACAGAAATGGCACTTTTCACAAAAGGTGGGACAGCTGAAATATTTATCAGCAGACTAATGGTACTGTTGTAGTACACACTCCATGATCATTGTTGTTGTTAGATGCCTTCAAGTTGGTTCCGACTCATTGAGACCCTGCGCACAACAGAATGAAACACTTCCTAGTCCTGTGCCATCCTCACAAATATTGTTATGTTTGAGCCCCTTGTTGCTGCCACTGTGTCAATCCATCTTGTTGGGGGTCTTCCTCTTCTTTGTTGACCCTCCAATTTATGCAGCATGATGTCTTTCTCCAGGGACCAGTCCCTCCTGACAACATGATTTGTTTGTTCTTTTGGCGGTCCATGGTACTTTCAATATTCTTTACCAACACCATAATTCAAATGCATAGATTAGTCTATGGTCATCTTTACTCATTGTCCAACTTTCACATGCATATGAGGTCATTAAAAATACTATGACTTGAGGCAGGTGCACTTTAGTGTCAAAGGAACACTTTGCTCTTTAACACTTGAAAGAAGTCTTTCTGCAGCAGATTTGCCTAATATAATAAATAGCCTTTTGATTTCCTAACTGCTGCTTTCCTGAGTGTTGATTGTAGATACAAGCAAGATGAAGTCTTTGACAACCTCACTTTTTTTCTCTGTTTACCATATTATTTATTGGCCCAGTTGTAAGGATTTCTGTTTTCTTTATGCTCAAGTGCAATCCACACTGCAGGCTGTAGTATTTGATCTTCATCATTAAGTACTTTAAATTCTCTTCTGAATCTGGCTTGAATTTCTAACCTCTCCCTGTTGATGTATTGTTGCAGTTATTTTAAATTATTTTCAGCAAAATTTTACTTGCATGTGACATTAATGATAGTGCTGAATGATTTTCACATTCCGTTGGGTCACCTTTCTTTGAATTGGACACAAATATGGATGGATCTTTTCCAATTGGTTAGCCAAGTAGCTGTCTTCCAAATTTCTTGGCATAGACGAGTGAGCACCTCCAGCTCTGCATCAGTTTGTTGAAACATTTTCATTTGCATTCCATCGAGTCCTAAAGCCTTGTTTTTCACAATACCCTCCCTCATTGCAGCTTGGCCTTCTTCTTTCAATACCATTGGCTGTTGATCACATGGTACCTCTTGGAATGACTGAACATTGACCAATTCTTTTTGATACAGTGACTCTGTATATTCCTTCCATCTTCTTTTGATATTTCCAGCATCATTCAATATTTTGCCCATAGAATCCTTCAATATTGCAACCCAAGACTTGAATTCATTCATCAGTTCTTTCAGTTTGAGAAATGTCGAGTGTGTTCTTCCCTTTTGGTTTTTTAACTCTAGGTCTATGCACATTTCATTAGAAGACTTTACTTTGTCTTCTTGAGCTGCCTTTTGAAATGTTCTGTTCAGCTCTTTTACTTCCTCATTTCTTCCACTCGATTTAGCTTTTCTACACTCAAGAGCCCACCACCCGTCTGTCAGTTTCTCGTACTGTGGTGGCTTGTGAGTTGCTGTGATTCTGAAAGCTATGCCACCGGTATTTTAAATACCAGCAGGGTCACCCATGGTGGACAGGTTTCAGATGAGCTTCCAGATGAAGACAGACTAGTAAGGAATGACAAACTACTTCCGAATATTTAGTCACTGAAAACCTTATGAATAGCAGAGAAACACTGTCAGATATAGTACCAGAAAATGAGCCCCTCAGGTTGGAAGGCACTCAAAATGCGACTGGGGAAGAGCTGCCTCCTCAGAGTAGAGTTGACCGTGATGATGTGCATGG